ACCGTTGGCATACAATTGTCATAAAGGCATCAATTGGTGGCAAACCTGAGGCGAACGCGAAGCCAATCAAATACCAGAGTCTAGTCGACCGGTTCTTCCCATTGTCTGGAGTGGAGTAGAGGGCGATGACAAAGCCGATGGCCACCAGCGATGACAGTATACCACCCTTTGGGAGCAATAGATGTCATCAATGATACGCTCATCAATGCATTCAATGTCTTACTTGTAGTATATTTGTGAACAAATGAATGTAACCGCCGATGGATGCGCTCAACAGCGCGATAGACATCGAGGAATAGACATCCTTTAAGTGGCTCTGAACCTGAGGTTCACTGCAATAGATACGCAATGGGATCAAATGGGGTGACAATCATGTCATTGAATGGTATGAAATGTGAATACATTTTACGGTTGAGTGAATTGAAGAATGAATCCAAACTGAAAGAGTTAGCCATCACTTGGGATCAGATGTCTCAGACTTGAATCAATTGGATGTTGTGTTAACTTTCACGACTGAATGACTCAATACTTACTGTAAGACTGACGACAACTCAAAATGAGTGATGCATTGAGTGCTGCCTTTTGGGGACCAATCATTCAGTGCATTCACGTCTCACTCATCACTAGATTTAGTGAACTTTTACTGCTTTTGAGTTCATTTAAGATGACATCCAAAAGGAAAGGCCTGTCATTCAGACGACACAGTCTTTTGAAGAGAGTTCTCGTCTCTAACTTCAAGTCAAAAATGTCATCCAAAAGACCTGTCGATCATTCAGAGACCGATGAATCCCTCATTGAAGACATCACTTCAGCCATCACTACAGCCATCACTACAGCCGTCACTACAGCCGTCGCCGAAGCCATCAAATCCCACTCCAAGAAGAAGAGGAAGACAAGCGCCGGCACTCTCGGGACGCCCATCAAGTCTGCCATCACTTCAGTGGCCAACCAGAGCGCCGCCAATGCCTTATCGACGGCCACTCAGATCCTGCAGACACAGGCCTCGGGCGCCGGCATCTACAGCATCCTTCAGCCCCAACAGCTTCAGATCGACGGCCAGGAGGCCATCTTCATCCCCGGCCACCAACAGGCCATCC